GAGGAGGAGGAGGAGGAGGATCGACAGGAGGATCGAGAGGAGGAGGAGGATCGAGGATCGAGGAGGAGGATCGAGGAGGCGGAGAATCGAGGAGGAGGAAGAGGAGACGGAGGAGGAGGAAGCGGAGGAGGAGGAAGAGGAGGAGGAGGAGGCGAAGCAGGAGGAGGAGGAGGAGGAGGAGGAGGAGGACAGCTATCAATAGTAATAGGTCAGGTCAGGTCACGCCCTTGCGCCGGAAGGCGAGCCCATGAAGCGCGCAGGCGGTGGCAATCGGCAGCGTGCAATACACGCGCGCGCCACATCTAAGGAAAACAGTACGTGCGTCTAAAAAGGGGAGGACTCATTCACCTGGCCTATCGTTGTGATGGTGCGCTCGAGCGTGAAGCAGATATTTAGGTAGCAGTGTCAGACAGCAGGGCGTTCACACAATGTTTGCCCCTCTGTTGCTTTGGATCAAGACGCGGAGTGGAGAGAAGACATACTCCCTCACATGTTCAATGATAATGGCAGCAAACATGTTGAAACTCCGCGGCTCGCTCATGAAAAACATCTGGGGACCAAGAACGCCATTGAGAGCCAACCACGCGGCCGAAAGCTTCCAATTTGCTTGTCCATGTAAGAGTCGGCCGACCTGCTGCACGATGACCGCGCGGTGACCAATTCAGAATTCTGACGATGTACCTTGTCTCTGGTAGCTGCTGAACATATAGTGCAAACGACAAATACTGGTGAACGCATTGTTCTGCCCATGTGCGAATGCCAGTACCGTTAATGAAGTTGCGTGCACGTTCGTGCCAAACATGTAGTACATCATGCCACGGTGCATCCCAATCAACGCCTGGAGGGGGTCCAACGATCTGTCGTACGAGGCGTCGGAATTCGATATCCATTGTTTTCAAATCTTCCAGATATATTGGGCGATGATCTGCTGCAAAACACGCCACTGATGTTACGACAGAATTGAACAATTTCAACCTCTGTGTGATAGAGGCTCTCTTATCGCACATAATACGGCGATTCGCATAAAATGCCTTGGCTGCACCTTGCATGTGGTAATTCAGATCCAGAGTGCGGGAGTCCGCCCCCCTGTGGACAGCATGCAACCCAACCATTTATGAGCCGAGTCTCGGTGGATCACGTCTATTGTCAACCCTTCCAGCGTGCGGATCGTGGAGGGAGCTTGTGCCATAGTGGTCAACGCCTTGGTCTTCTTAGCGTTGAGAACAAGCCCGACCTTGCGCAGCTCCAACACGAGCGTGTCGAGTAAGAAACACACCTCCTTTTCCGAATAAGCGAAAAGAAGCAAGTCGTCTGCGAATCGCAAGTTCGTCAAATGCTCTCCGCCATCTCCAAGATCTATTCCCAGATGTCCAACGTTCTGCTTCCAGCGCGACATTGCCCACTCCATGGCGGATGTGAACAACTTAGCACTCAGTGCGCACCCTTGGCGGACGCCCGCGGAAATTGGAAATTCATCACTGTAGGTGCTCTCGCCCGCAATGACACCAACTTGATCCGCATAGAGTTGTCGAATGAGCCATACCATATGCTCGGACACCCCATGATCATGGAGTGCTTGCCATAGTGGGTCCCATGCCACCTTGTCAAACGCTTTCGATACATCCAAACTGATGGTCCAAATTGGTAATCCTACGGCGAGCGTTTTCTGGAAGACGATGTTGGCAGTAACCACGTGCTCTTCGAGGCGACGGCCAGACCGGAAACCATGTTGCTCTTCTGGTTGCGCGTGTTCCGAAGAATTTTCAATCCGGCCCAACACCAAGTAGGAGAACAACGTGTAGAACAGCAGCAAGCATGCAATAGGCCTGAAGTCCGAAACTGCTTTAGCGCTGGCCATTTTCCCCAGCATCTTGAACTCTGTACGCTTCCATTCGTCTGGGACAATGCCGTGCGTGAACACCCGGTTGCACAATCTCGAGACAGTAGTGCGGAAAAGCGGCGGGCTATGATGCAAGAGCTTTGCAACGAGACCTTTGGTATCTGCAGCCCTGTTTTTCTTCATCCGGTCAATGGCGATGTCCAACTCGTCCTCGTCAAAACTAGGCTTGGTGATGGAGGAACTCGCTGGTGGGGGTTGGTAAGTGCCGCTGAAGATCTCACGTATGGCCAGAGCAAAGTCCTCCGGGCTCGGTTGAACTGCCTTCTTCCTGCCTGAAGAAGTGTTCACTATTTGCCGCAATGCTTTCCATTTCGACGATGGGCCTATGTGAGCAGAAATCCGCGCAGATTGCCAAAGGCGCCTTTCCTTCGCATCGCACGGCGGATCTTGAAACTAAGGTATTTTCTCTCTTCCTGTCCGCCCGCACGGCGTCGAGCTAGCCTCAAAGACGCGAGAACAGGAGAGGGTTGGAATCGAAAGGTCTTCGAACGAGTGCTCCTGTGTTTGGACCCCGCTTTGTACAACATGTTCTCCGCGCAACTGAACGACGAGACGCGTAAAAGTACAGTTGGGTCGCTCAATGCTCGCCAACACTTCGACGGCTCACCGCGGGCGTCCAGAGTGAGCCGCCACCCCTTCATGCTTTTGTTTTCCCGGTTGTAATTTGCACGTCGACCAACGAAGGAAAGTTCGCAGTGCACTGTTCGATGATCCAGTCCGACGCCAATTGCTTGATCGATCTTGGAAGTAACATGGGTGAAGATAGAGTCGGCGACAATGTGATCCAATTGGACAAGAGCGCCGTCGAAACTACGCTTGCATGTCCAAGAACTCGCCGGACGTGAATGGTCCAAAGCGGCTGTAGATCGAAAGCCCGTGTTGGAGAAGCCATTGCACCAGCAATCGTCCCCGGTCGTTGCGGAGGCAACTGCCGGCAGCACCACGTAATGACTCATCATCTCCAGCCATGAGTGCACCGACATGCGCATTGAAGTCGCCACCGATAATTGTCAACTTGCTGGCCCCCCCGTCGCCTTCCAGAAGAAGCGACAAAGGTCGTAAACAGCATACGCGTCGGCGTCATCGCTCCAGGAGGTCGGGAAATAGACAGCAATCGCCCTGAAAACCTTCCCCGCGAATAAGAAATCCAATGGAATTGTATATTCGAGATTCGCTTCCGGAACTTGGGCGATACAGCAATGCCGTCACCATGGTGTGACGAACCACCTGAAAGAAATATACAGTCACCATTGCCGGTTTCCGCAATTTCCTCCCTGTCCTGTCGCCATGTCGAGCTTCCTCGCGGATGCTCTGCAAATTCTTCGTGCACGTGTGAATATGTATTCTAAGATTGTTGTCTTTGGCCGCTTCCGGCCGGAACTCCTACAAGTCATCTTCAATCTCCTCCTCCACGGCGTCGCGTACCGACTGTGAGATTTTGCTCTCGCCAGCCTCCCACACCGGAATACCGTCTTCGCCCACTGTAGCTAGAACAACAAATCTGCGATCGATTTTGCACGGATTGTGAATTTGCGGTAATCAGCCTTCACGACGCCAGACTCGTACATATCTTGCTCAATCAAATACTTCTTATTTAGCTGGCTAACTTCGACCGGCGTCGCACTTCAAATGGTTTGTTCGCGGAGGCCCACAAACTTTGTTCAGTGAAAGTGTTGTTGCTCTTCTGCTTGCGCAAATACTTCAGCATGGAAATCTTATCCTGAAATTTTGCAAACATCACTGGAGGTAGATGATTGTTTGCATACGTTTCCTCGATGCCCGGGGTGTCGCCCAGCGCAGCTGTAACGAGGGCCGTGGCATCATCGTCGGACAACTCGCCATAACCTCCAATGACGGCAGTGCGCGTGTACAAGCCCTCATCGTCGTCACCGATGTGAAACGTTTGCGGCTGCCTGTGCTTCTCGTCGAACTTCTTTTCCAAATGGGCCACCTTCTTCTCAAGTGCCTTCCGCGCCTCTCTCTCCGCAGCCAACTCGTTCGTGTTTTCGCAAAATTTTGCGTTGACTTCGCCGAGCTTGGCGTCGAAGTGTTGCACCAACCGTTCCTCCTGATGATGGTTCTCCTCGCTCTATCAATAGTAATATTGGTAATAAGTATCGTAAGTCTGCATACGCATAATTCTGCTAATAAGAAACGATTATTCACAATACAACGAATAGTAATACTAACGATACTAGTAATGCTGGTTCAAATTTAACAGCACATTCATACTACGACGGTGCGACGACGACTACTACTACTACTACTACTACTACTGCTATTGCTACTGCTACTACTACTACTACTACTACTACTACAACTACTACTACTTTTACTACTACTACTACTACTACTACTACTACTACTACTACTACTACTACTACTACTACTTCTACGACTACTACTACTACTACTACTACTACTACTACTACTACTACAACTTCAACTACAACTACAACTACAACTACAACTACAACAACAACAACTACTACTACTACTACTACCACTACTACTGCTACTACTACTACTACTACTACTACTACTATTACTACTACTACTACTACTTCGACTCCTCCTCCTCCTCCTCCTCCTACTACTACTACTACTACTACTACTACTACTGCCACTCGCACCACCACTACGACTACGACTACGACTACGACTACTACTACGACTACGACTACTACTACTACTACTACAACTACTACTACTACTTTTTCTTCTACTACTACTATTATTATTGCTACTATTGTTGTTACTAATAGTAATAGCAAGACTATGGCTAAGACTATTAATTGTACTACGCATGTTAATGCTAATACTACGAATGCGAATATGGAGACGAATACTAATAGTAAGAAGAATAATACCAATCCGCTAAGAGTACGAGTGCGAATCATACTAGTACTAACTAAGAAGAAGAAGAAGGAGGAGGAGGAGGAGGAGGAGGAGGCCCGAGCCCGGGCGGCAACGCTGTGCTCGTGGAGCAGCATGCGGGCCGCCTGGTCCTCGCGCTCGTGGCTCCTGTGGGGCTCGCCAGGAGAGGCGACCTCGGGGGCCGGGGGCACGTCGCGGCGCTGATGGACCTCGTGGGCCCCGACGCGCACGTGCCGGTGAGTCCGCGGAGCCCGAGGAGCCCGGCCCCGTCCGGGGTGGTGAAGGCCAGCCGAGGAGGAGGAGGAGGAGGAGGAGGAGGAGGAGGGGGAGGAGGGGAAGGGGAGGAGGGGGACGAGGAGGAGGAGGAGGCGGAGGAGGAGGAGGGGAGAAGCAGCAGGAGGAGAGGAGGAGGAGGAGGGGGAGGAGGAGGAGGAGGGAGGAGGAGGCGGAGAGAGGAGGGAGAAGCAGCAGGAGGAGGAGAGGAGGAGGAGGAGGGAGGAGGAGGAGGAGGGGAGGAGGAGGAGGAGAGGAGGAGGAGAGGAGGAGGAGGAGGGTGCGGGGCAGTAGGAGGGGAGAAGCAGGAGGAGAGGGAGGAGGAGGAGCGGAGGAGGAGGAGGGGAGAAGCAACAGGAGGAGAAGGAGGAGGAGTACGAGGGGGTCCGAGGAGCATCTTTCCTTCTTTCCTCCTTCCTCTTGCCGTCTGCCCTCCTGCTGTCTCATCCCTCGCCTCTCTCCTCGCCCCTCCTCGCTCTCCCCTCCTCGGCTCCTCCTCCCTCCTCTCCTCCTCCCCTCCCCCCCCTCCCTCCTCCTCCCCCTCCTCCCCCCCCCCTCCCCCCTCCTCCCTCCCCCTCCCCCCTCCTCCTCCCCTCCTCCTCCCTCCCTCCTCCTCCTCCTCTCCTCCTCGTCCCCCTCCCCTCCCTCCCCCCTCCCTCCTCCCTCCCCCTCCTCCTCCCTCCCCCCTCCTCGGCGAACAACGACTGCAGTTGAGGGTCATCCTTCTGCTGACGCGCCGCGGGCACCCCCGTGGATCGTTCATGTCTCGCGGGGTGCCAGTTATCGGGGCGATCGAACTGGGTACGGACAGAGTGGGTAGAAATATTGACAGCAGTTCTGTCCGCTTTAAATCTGCGTCACCCCAGCATACTGATATTATGTGTGCGTCGCCTCCCCAGGGGCGACGTGCGCACCGAGAAGTCTTGTAGTACATACGTCGTGGCGGGCGCTTTCCGGCCACACCGCTCGGGAAACGCTATACTACTAGTCTCTGTGCGTCCCACTGATCAGGACGCGATGTTGGTGTCGCCGCGGACGTTGTCCATTCGATGCAGCAGGCCGCCTGCCAAGCAGCGGCCGCTGTCGGGATTGGACAACATGTGTTATTGGGCATCGTACCGATTTTTGTCCGTATCCGTCTCGCGTGTCCCCCCCCCACAGGCTGACCGTTCAGGAGAGAAGCGCTCGGAGATACACGTGGGTTGAGGTCGCCATATTCGGCTGCGCGCCCGGAGGGAAAGGCAGATGTTGCTGGCCTTCTCAACAGGCGGGGCTTCTGAGAAGCCCTCGCGCCTTCTGAGGAGCCGTCCGTGTATTCGGAGAAGTCGCAGAAAGCTTCTCAGAAGGTTGGCGGCCTTCTGAGCCTTATGAGAATGCTGCCCTGAGATCCTGCGTCGCGAACGACATGCAACATCGGCAAAATCACGACCAGAGCCAGGACCCCATCTTTCTGCTTCATTTTTCGAGCCGGATCGATCTGTGATGGTCTCGGGGCCCGAGACCAGGCGAGAATGCCCGCTTCGACAAAATCGTAACGCCTGGGTCTCAGGGTTTCGCCGCCGACATGGGCACCCTTCCATCACAAATCGCTCTCATCGTTCGAGGGTTGCTAAGAGGTGCCCCTCGCCCAAGGTTCCCCCAGCTCTTCGCTCCATTCTGGAGCCGCGGGGGACCTCTGGGCCCCGTGTCGGAAGTCCTGGGGGCACCTTGAGCCAGGCGCACTTCTGGCAGCACCGGACATCGGTGGCGACACACATACACGCCTGTCCTTGAAAGTAAGTACTTCTGGATTCCCAGATCCCAATCTACTTCAAGCGACTTCTTACTTCAAGAACCGACCCGTTCTGCTGTGTTCTGTTCTTCTCTGGGAAGGCCTGAACCCGATCTACTCCATCCGCCTTCCTACTTTATGTTTTTACCTGCTTCCTCCGACCGGCGTGTACCCATACCGGCGGCCTCGGGGACCGGGCCCTCGGGCCACGACCTCCCGCGGCTGCGGGGCGCTTCTTTTTTGTCCGCTGGCGCCCCGCGCGGGACGCATCCGTGCGACTGCGTATCCGCGGGGTCGCTCCTCTGCCTAAGTCGGGGGAATGTCCCTCTACAGGAGGATTTAGACATAGTTAAAAAATAGTCTAGGGACGATTTTGTGATTATGTTTGAGTATTTTCTGTTATTTTTCGCCCATGGTCCGCCTGTAGGAGGACATGCCCGACCTAACTCTAGGCCTCTTGGCTGGGGTCCGAGCAGATCGGGTCGGAGGATCGCGCCGCATCGCCAGAAGCATCGCCGATGCCGCTTGATGCGGAGCCCGATGCTCTCCATGCCGACGTCGCCGATGCATCGCCGACGTTGCTGGCCAGTGCATCGCCGGTGCAGCGCCGACATATCGCCGATGCATCGGCGATGCGGCGCGATCTTCCCACCTCATCTACTCTTAAGTCAGGCCTGTCCCTCTACAGGGAGAATATTCAAAAGTAGGAAAAACAATATGGGGACTATTTGTTTTACAATTTTTGAGCATGTTGGGGGCAATGTGGGGGCATTTTGTGGGTATTTTTAATTTGTTGCTCCAAATGCCCCTGCAGGGGGACACGCCCGACTTAATCTACTCGGACCCCATATGGGAGGCTTCTACGCAGTTGCCCAGAATCCAGGCCGCCAGGGCTCGGGTCAGCGGCGGGCCCGCCGTGTGCGCGGGCCCGCCGTGTGCGCGGGAGGCTCACGTAGAGGGGGCCGCGGACCTCACAGTCGGCATCCCCCCAACATATTTATACTTTGTGCTCGTCGCCCCCCCAGGGGCGACGCGCGCACCGAGAAATCTTGTAGTATATGCGTCGTGGCGGTGTTTTCTGGCCACACCGCTCGAGAAACGATATACTACAAGATGGGTATACTACATGTTCGGGTTGGACGCGCGCCTCCAAGGCGGACATATAGTATTAGTATGTCTCTGTGCGTCCCATGCAGTAGAGACCCAAGCCAATAATTACTCTGCTTGCCTCCAGGGTGCCCTTGGTTTCTTGGGTTGCGATGGTTTTGCTATGGGAGGCGTGACGTTTCCGCACCAGAGATCCATGGACGTCCTGGGGTCTCAGGGCTGAGTTTTTTTGGGAAGGCTTCTTGTGAACAGGCCTCCACTGTGGACCAACGGACTTCAGTTTGTCGCCTTTGTGTGCAGCAGCTGTTCAGACTTCGCTTCGGCACAGTGCCCTACTGTGGAGGCCAGTCCACAAGAAACCTTCAGCACGGAAGCCAACCTGGAGACCACAGGACGTTCACTGATTTTTGGTGCGGAAGCGCCACGCTTTCCATAGCAGAACCATCCGAACCGAAGAAACCCAAGGCACACTGGAGGCAAGCAGGGTGTTCCTTGGCATGGATCTCAACTGTAAGAAGTGTTCGCGTCGCTCGTGAGCGCAGGTGACCATCAACGGCGGGGGCGCGGAGGCGCAGGAGCGCAAGGCCTCGATCGCCTGCCTAAGCGAGGCGCTCCAGGCCGCCAACTTCGAGGCCGGCATCTGGCGCCAAAGGCGGGCGGCGACGCCAACTGATAGCGGGCGAAGATCGGTAGAATCACCCCACGACTCGCCACGTAATTGCGCGCAAACGGGCCAGAGGGCCAGGGGGCTTCTGAGGAGCCTCCCAATGTCGCTTCTGAGGGCCTGGGGGCTTCTGAGAATGCCTCCTCCTTCTCACTTCCCCCATTCGCTCGCCACCGATTCGGGCCTTCCCAATGTCGAAGAAGAAAAAAACACATAAGAATAAACTTTTGGCGCTCCGCGCGGATTGCTTGGATCCGCACCGGGCCCCCCCCGGCGGCGCCTCTGGCGCCGCCCTTGGCGCGCTCCGCGCGCCAGTGAGGGGGATCTGGCGCAGATCCAAGAAATCCGCGGGGAGGGCCAAACATTTATGTTGATTGCGTTTTTTTCTTCTTCTCATGATCACCGAGCGCGTTCCACTACTCGCAATGTGCCCATTCGCAACCATCCGAACAACAAACCATATGTTCGCCTCGTTGTCATGGATCGCAGATCCCCCGCGCCAGATGCAGGCGACTTGCGAGTAGTTACTCTGCGAGTAGTGGAGCGCCCTTGTCTATATGCGATGTTCGGGGGGCGCCTGCCCCCCAGGCGGCTGGAAAGTTTGTTTTGTACCGTTTTTCGCTCCTAAAAGACCGAGCGACGAAAGAGAAGGAGGAGGAGGAGGAGGAGGAGGAGGAGGAGGAGGAGGAGGAGGAGGAGGAGGAGGTGGGGTCACCACTGCGCGGGCATTGGCGCGTTTCCCGCGCAGGGTCGCGCGCAAGCACCCTCCTCTCCCGCGCGATGTGCCACGCTGGCGGCCCGCGGGATGCCGTGGCGTGAGGTCGCGACGGTTTCTCGCGTGAGACCCGCCTCTTTCCGTCGCTCGACTGTGGATCTGCACTTCGGTGCGATCGAGATCGGGGATGGAGAGAATGGTCAGGGCAAATAATGGTATCGATACCGTCATCCTTTCCTCGTTTTCGCCCCTTGGGGGGCCTCCTGGGAGGCCCCAGTCGCAACGGCTGGCTTCACCCCAGAATCCTCGTCAGGTCACACCCCGGGAGAGGCCCGCCTTCTTCCCCGAGTCTGGGGTCCTCGAAAAGCCTCCATCCTCGAACCTCGAACCCCGATCCTCGAGCCGTGACCGTCGAATCTCGAGCACCGATCCTCGAGCCCCGAGCCCGGGGTCCTCGGGCCCCGATCCTCGATCCACGCGGGACCTCCATCCTCGGGCCCCGACCCCCGACGCCGGAGAGGCCTCGGCCCTCGAACCCACACACACTCGAAGACCAGCAGCAGTCTCTGTTCGTTTCGGGTGTGGACAGACCTCCTACCCTGACACGTCGATGAAGGAATTGGCCGTTTTCGGCTCGCGAGAGGGCGTCGCGGCCTTCATTTTGGCGGGTCCAGGTCTGTCGGTTTCCCAGGCCGTGTTCTTTAAGGGGAGGTCTACTAAAGGGAGGTTTGTCCACCGCCGATCGTTGTGAACAGGGTTGGCTGCCGGTGCCGCTGCGGACACTGTCCGTTCGTCTGGACGCCCGAAATGGGTACGGAAAGAATGGGGACAATGACCAACAGCAGTTCCTGTTCATTCTGAACAGGATTCGCTGTCCACGCCGCCGCGGCCTGTGTCTATTCGAGACAGAAGGCCGCCTGCCCAACAGCGGCCGTTTTTGGTTTGGGACAACATTTGTTGTTGGGCATTGTACCCATTCTTTCCGTACCCTTTTCGGGCGTCCAAAGTTCGGGGCGGGCGTCGCCAGGCCAGCAGCGGCTGTGGTCGGTTTTTTGGCCAACGGTGGTTCTCGCCTCGTGCATCCCCACATGCCCATCCAGAAAGGTTGCCCATGCGAGGGGTAGAGTTTGGGGCCTGACCTGAACAGCTTTGCGCTGGCATCCTGTGGGGCCTGTTCTGGGGATTGCTGAGGTCCCCGTTGGGATCCTGTTGGGCGGGGTGGGGGGATGGAAGAGGCGAGTGGAGGGGTGGGTGGGTGGGGCCGGGGAGGGGTGGGATAGGGGGAGGCGGATGGAGGGGGGGAGGGATGGGGGTGGGAGGGAGGGCTTGGAGAGGGTGATAGAGGGGTGTGCAGTGGGGATGGAGGGTGTGGCGTGGAGGACGGAGTGAGATGAGATGAGACCAGTCGCGAGGCGATTTTTCAAACACACTACCCCTGAACTTGCCGAGGGACGAGACGATGATTGATCACACCACGACGACAGTGTAGCCCACCAGCGCCGAATACTGCCCAAGAGCCCAGCGGAAACCGCCATGAACGAGAGTGACCGGCAGCACGATGCGGCACTCCACGAACGGGTACAAGACCCAAGGAAGATTTCCCCCAGCCACGCTTTGAAGTACGCCCAACCCGTTGGGATGTGGGTTTAGATGGGCACAGCGGCCCGCGGAGCCACTTCCACCAGCAAGCTGGGACGGACCGTGCCCTTGAGGATTCAGAGGGAAAGCTCCCAACCAAGGCCCACGACTATTGCTGCTTACGCTGCGGTTGCTCTTCCGGTGGCGGCGCAATACCAGGGAGCGGCCTCCGAGCTCCAACCCCGCGCGCCGAAGCAGCAATTCGATAGCCACCGTCATCTTCATTGCGGTCTTCTCCACGAGCACGGTGACCACCACCAAGACCAGAAACTGCTCGTCCCGCAAATTCTCTTTCTCGGAAAGAGTCGGTATCCCTGACCTCGGCGCCGCCCCCCTCGCGAAGAGCGGCGACCGTGCGCAGTGCTGCCGCCTTGGCTGCCTCGTATGCCTCCTCAGATTGAAGTCCATGAGCGGCCGCTTGCTGACCTGCCTGGTGTCCGTCATGTTGAACAGGCGGCGCTTGAACATGAACCGCTTTGGGAGGAGAAGCCTCAGCGCGGCACCGGATCCAGATGCCCATTTCCGAGGTGCCATTCGTATGTTTGTGTCCTTTGTCATTTGGCAGGTGAGCGGAACATAACTGCCTGATCCACTTCAACTGTGACAGTATGACATCGGAAACGAACGGCGGCATATTGCTATCTTCTGGCACGTGCAGAATTATGCGGACCTTCAGGATACCAGGGTTAGCAGCTTTGCCGACCACCAAATGCACGGCGCGCCCGTAATCGGTGATCTCTTTCGAAACCCAATCCAGACGTGCAAGGACCAGCATCGACAAACGGGCGAAAGGAATTGCACAACATCAATTGCACCACATAGATTGCTCCACCTTGTTTGCCAGAGATATGTTGGACAAAATCGACTACACCCACCACAGTATACTGAACACCATACATTGCACTAAGTATTTTGCACAGCATATACCTCACCACATATATTGTGCAACATCGATTGCACAACATGGAACGCAACACATATATTGCACCACACAGACTGCGCACCATATCATAGCCTACACCATTCATATTGCTCCACATCGATTGCACCGCATCCACAGCACCACGTAAACTGCACTACGTATATTTGGCACCACATAGATTACCCTACACACGTTGCACATCGTCGATTGCCCATTTTTGATTACACAACAACTTCTGCACCACATATTTTGCACCACGTATGTTGCACAACATTGTAATGTACTTTATAGGTTGTCCCACGTGGCACAGAGTGTCAGACGCACACTGTTTGGGGTCCACGCTGGCGAATGGTCAGGATCGAAGCAGAACGGTTACATCATTAACCTTTGTGGTTGAAGCCTTGTCTGCGCCATAGCGGCGCAGAACTTCTGGTGTGCGTTGAAGAGACGCAAGAGAGCAATTTGGCCCGGTGACACACAGCCCTGTCTATCACCTTCGTGCGATAAACATCGCACGCCCATTGCCCCACCGACATCGAATTGGCATCATAACTGGACAGAGAATCAGGCATCCATCATATAGAAAGAATGCAGCAGGTTTTAGCGGCATGGCAAAACGGGGAAGGGTGGGGGGAAGGTGGAGGAGAGGGAGGTGAACGAACCCTTTGATACCCAGGGGGCGGGGGTGGAAGGGGTTACCTCTCCCCGAAAGGGAAGAAGGGGATTGGAAGAACGGACTCGTTCATCCAACTGCGCGCGGAGGGCTGGTGGTATGAAGTTCTTCAGTCTCCGTCTCGGGCGTCCAAGTGCATTCCTGTCTGGCCAAGCCAAAGGGCGTACGACATGCTGAGGTCCAGCGTCGCAAAACATGTAACATCGCGAAGCACCTTCTGAGATCGCCTCCTTCTTCCCACTTTCCCCGTGCGCTCTGGGCCTCGCCTGGCGGCGCCTCTGGCGCCGCCCCTGGCGCGCTCCGCGCGTCAGGGAGGGGGGCCAAGCGCAGATGCGAGAGGTCCGCGAGGAGCGCCACAAGTCTATGTTTATGGCGTCGTTTTCAAGGGGCAGGCAATCGCAAACATGGATCAGGGGGGCGTGGATTAGCGTCGGGCCCCGTCTCCATGAGACATCGCAGATTTCGGCCGCCGAGCGAGGCGGCATTGGCCGCATTTTGGGGAGGGCACCTCCCCCGATCCATGGATCTGGCGACCGCACTCCAAATCTTAAGTCTGGCCTGTCCCTCTACAGGAGGAATGTTCAAAAATAGTCAAACATAGTCTGGGTACGATTTTTCCAGTATTTTTCCACTATGTGGGAGTATTTTCTGACTATTCTTTATTTTTTCCGCCCAAAGATCCACCTGTAGGGGGGACATGCCCGACCTGACCCAAATCCATGGATCGCTAGTCCATGTCTGCGCGCCCCCGAGAGGGGGCCTCGGGCAAACGGGGTCGGAGATGATCGCGCGCGCCTCGCCGAGGCATCTCGGCGAGGCGCGTGCGCTCTGAGAGGCCCGCCCCGAGGGGCGATCAGCGGAGCTAGGTGACCTGCCTTGCGATCCAGCGTTGCGAACAAACCAGGCAACTTCGGGAGAACTCGCGGATGTTGTGCTGATACAGTTTTCGAGCGGTGTTGCTCCGCGAGGGTCCTGGGGCCCAGCACGGGGCGAAACAACACCGTCTTGCAACATCGCAGCGCTGTAAGCATCAGCATCAC